GAAAAATTCAAATAACAATCTCTAAATCAACAAAACAGTAAAAACAGTAAAAAAATGTAAAACAAAAGAATAAAAATAGAATAACAAAAAACAAAAAAAGAAATTAATCAAAACAACCAAAATCAATGATATTAAAAACAATATTGTATAACAATAATTAAAAATATAATATTTTTGATTTACAAAACACAAAAAGAACTGAATAAAAAAGATTGTGAAAAAAACAAGGATATGGGAAAGAGACAATTGATATTATTAGTAGGATTACCATATGTTGGTAAGTCATCAATACATAGAATAGTTTTTGGTAAAAAAACACCTGGAGAAACAACAAATTTAAAACCAACACTTCATATTCAAAAGATAAAAATTGAAGGATTAAATAGTATGATGGAAGTTTGGGATATTCCAGGAAGTATTTTAATGGAAATGGATGAAACTATAATGAGAGAAATCTTAGAAGAGACGATTTCAGTTGTATATGTTTTTACATGTCAAACACAATCATTTTCAGAACAAATGAATTATATGTCTGCTTTTGTTGAATTAGCACATTCAATTAATGATAAAATTATATTTGAATTTTTACTTCATAAATGGAATTCAGAAGGAATTACTGATGATAAAATTAATATGAAAACTGATGTTGAAGCACTTAGTAAACAAGCATTACTTAATAAAAAGATAAATATTGATTTTAATGTTACACTAACTTCTATTTATGACAATTCTTTATATTCCTTTTTCTCTTCTTTATTGAATATTGTTTACATTAAATCTTCTGTTTTTAATGAATTATTAGAAAATTATGTTGAAAAATGCCCAGCAAATGATGCATTTCTTATTCATATTCCAACTCGATTATATATTGCTACAACAAAAGGAAATTCATCTTCTTATGGATTTTGTAAAGAAGCATTTAACTTTTTTATTGATGTTTTTTCAACTTATTCATCTGAACAACAATTGGAAGAAGGTAAAACAATGATTCAATGTGATAATCATTCTCATGTTTATTTAAAGGTTGTATCTCCTTATCTTTGTTTAGTGATGTTACTTGGTGATACTCAGGAAAGAGATATTGGGTTGTATGATTACAATTTCACTATTTTGCAAAAAGGAATCGAAGAGTTGCTTGGCTCAAATTAATAGACAAATTCTTCTTCTTTTTACCATCTTATGTTCATTATTACTCTTTTTCTTCTCATTTTATTTGTTTTGCTAATATATTATAAAAAACTATTCATTACTATTAAATAACTATTAAAGGGTTATATTAAGTGATTCATTTTTACTATAAAAAATAGCAAAATAAACTAAAAATGAACCATAAAGAATAAACAGAGAAAGTAAAAAAGAAAAACCCTTCAGATCAAATAAAGTGCACTTGATAACATCATGTCCAAGGATAAGAATAGATCATCTCACAATCAATCTCATAAGGCTCATAGAAACGGATTCTATAAACCAAAGAAATCCGCTTATATGTCAACTAAAGGAATGAATGTTCAAGTCCTCAAGAACACCAAAGCTCAACGTAAATTCGCTCTTGCTAAGAAACTTGAAGCAAAGAAAGCTGCTAATAAAGAATAAATTACAAATATGGTGTTAATTTACTTCTAGGGTTTAATTTTATAAAATAGAGTTATATTCTTTTCTTCTTTATACCAAACAATAAATATTGTTTTTGGTTAATTTATTTTGTCAAAAACAAACTGTTTAATACAAGAGCTAAAAACAAAAGAGTTATAAAGTTAAATATTCATTAGAACAAAAGAAGTGTGGCTCCTTGAAAAGAGTCAAACTGACATTCATCTACTGGTTGACTTAATGGTTGTGAAGGAGAATAAATGTATTGATTAAATTGAGGGTCATTAAGTATTGGATTAGTGTTTCGTGGTGGTAAAGGGAATGCAAAGTCAGCAGGTGAGACAGTAGAGGAACATGATGATGATGATTGAGAATCATAACAAAACAATTTTACTGGAAGTGGAATATTCATTTCGCAGCTTCGTCTTCTGGACGTTGTTTGCATATTGTATTTATCTTTTAGTTTCTCTATTCCCCTTTATATCTTTGACTTTTCTGTTGGT